CGACCATTTCTGGCTGGCAACTTTCAGCGTCATTAAGCCGCTGCACCACCGCGTCCCCCTGATAGGTATTATAGATACTTGCTATAAAATAACGTAATAATTTTCTCTTTGTTAATCCATATTTTCTTGTAAAGACAAATAGATGGATAGGATCAGGTGCAGGCTCTGGACCTGTACAGTATTATATGATATTAAAGAAGTATTAAAATACTTTTTCTGTTCCTGAAAAAGTATGTGATAATAATTCTATGGCTTTTTGTTTCAGAAGTTATGAATATCCATCATCCAGCTTACTCCAAGATCACTACCTTGATTCAACGTGGAGAACAGATATGGTTCTTGTAAGTAAGCTATGGAATATAATGTAAAGATAAGTTCTCATTCTTTGTATTTTTTTTTGGCAAATAGTTTATTATCCTTTTCAATTTCCAAGTATATTGGGATATAAACTATCATAGGCAGAAAGGAAATATTACATATATTGTTCATGAAAAATATTCAAGCCTTAGAACAAGGTGTGACAGTTGTGTGCAGTAGGTTTATGTATACATCTATGTTTGTTTCTTTTGGGGGCATGCTTATTATCATTGTTACCCTTGTTCTTTATTTGGGTTTCTAAGAAAGAAGGAGGTTTTACTAATTTATATTAATCTTTCAAATCCAAGTTTTATCTCAAATTTTCTAAGTTATCCTACAAATATGTCTATTTTTTCACTTTAACTCTGCATCTGGGAGAATTCACCTTCCTCTTCACTGCTGATGTGAGAATTAATACATAGGGATGTTGTATAACTGTTATGACTTTCTCCTAGCCATGGAGCCTTGATAGTACAATTAGTGAAGAAAACAAGGCTGCCATTGAGAAGATGCTCCTGGAAGAAGAGTATCCTTTTCTTATTAAAAAGTGAGAAAAAGAGCTATAATGCAGATTTGTAATCAGCAAGGATTATGACCGGTTTTCTGACAATTCATTGATAATACTTATTTCCCAAGATTTTTTCTTTTGCCAGCAGTGTCCTATTTCTCTGTGAAAAAAGCATTATTGTTTGTGTCCTTGTTGATTAGACCCACAAGGACATAAAACACTAATGCTTCTTTTCATAGATTAATATGACATACATATGTGAGTAAACCCAGTTGTCCTATGTAAAGAGAGAGGAATTGGGTTATGTACTGTGATCGTTTTGTCTGCTACCCATTTTTGTGCTTCCTGGGTATCTCTTTGCTTTTTCCATGTCCTGAAACTAAATTATAAAAAGAAGTATATGGGTGAACACTAGATAACTGAAGGTTTGGAAATGTATTTACTGCAGCTTAGTTTAAAGCAAATGAATTTGATTACTCGCTCTGCAGAAAACATGTCTGAAAAGAAAATAATCTTAAATTCATTGAATACAGGTGGTGGTACAGAGAAGTCTTACATGTTTTATCTAAATTTTCTTGGATTTAAATTATAATCATAAGCACATTAACCTTTCAATTAAGTCTGATTAAACACATGTGAGATTATTTTTCTTCATTAACCAAATGTTGTGCAAGCATATGTGGTCCATGTGTTATAATATATGCACATTCATTGGTTTCAGTGACACTGTTTTTAATAAATAATTAACTACCCAAGCATTCCTATAGAAAAATTTTCTCTAACAATACTGTATTTCCTGAAGTCCTTAACATATTTCAGATACTATTTGTCTAGCAAGTCACTTCCAGAAAAAATTTGGCATGAGCTGAAGGAAAATGATAAAAAATGTACAAAAAGGTAACATCTGCTATGTAGAACTGTGGTGGGCCACCAGTGTTCTTTAATGTTCTTTCTGACCATGCTGTTAATTTTTTAAAGCAAGAATTTAATATTTTTAAACATACTTTCACTCTATAAGGTATAAGAATTAAAACCTGAAAATGGTAGCTGGAAGTAATCAGAATACTGCAAACCTTTATAAAAATGTACACATCATGAAAATACTTTTAGAAATGTCTACTAAATGTATTAAGTAACATCTATTTTTTCTTGTTTTTACTTTATAGTCCATACAAGAAAGAAACAAAAGTCACGTATGTACTTCTGATGCTAAATCTAAGCTTAAGATTGTTATTTTATGCATGGAGAACTTGTTGTGACATTTATGAATCCTCTGAAATAATTGAATTTGTTGCATTGATATTGGGTTGGATCAAGGATTATATCTTGCTGGTGAAACACTTCTACCAGGGGAAAAGATTTTTAATATCATCCACCCATTGAGAACTCCCCAAAACAGAATGGGGTGCATGAGGAATGATAGGAAATCCTGTGTGCAAGTGGCAGCTTCCTTTTTCTTGACTCCAAAACCTTCTTGTTAAAAAAGAAAATGTATCTTTTAAACATAAGTGACATGCTCTCAAATATATATTTTTTAAAAAGCAGTTGATTACAGTGGTTTTCTTTTATGTCTTATTATGTGCATGTGTGTAAAATTAAGTTCACTGACAAAGCTGTTTCTGTGAGCCTCTTTTTGATTGAATCTTTGCATTTACTAAAGTATTTTACTTTCTGATAGGCTTCGTTCACCTACAAAATCAGCCACTGCTTCGCTGAAGTGGACATCAGAAGAAAAGGAAAAGTTTGAAGAAGGACTGGTAAATATTACTAACACTTAAATTTAACATAAAAAGTTTTAAAATACAGTAGCCTTACCACATAATTGTTTAAAAAGGGCCAAAAAAGTAATTTTAAAAAACCCATGTTAGTGCAATTTTGGTGATGATCAGCCATCCCTCAATCTTAATATTAAAATATTCTGTGTTGAATGAGATACCTGTGCAAGCCAGTAGGAATTCTAAGATGCATTGCCAGAGAAATGCAGTTTCTTGCACTAATTCTCACGCTATTACAAAAGATCCCCAATACAGCAGATTTGTGAGGGAAGATCCCCGTACAGCAGATTTGTGAGGGAAGATGGAAGTCTCTTATGCATCTAAGTATCTTCTGAGAATAGGGTATAATCTGTGTTTAGCTCCCTAATAAGATTTTATGCATCTGGGCTTGAAAACTATTTTTTTTCTTAAGTAATCCTTCTAAGATGCTTAATCTGCTCTCTTAGCAAACTTATTATGGTAAAAAGCTGCCATTCTGGGGATTCACAGAGGGGTATATCCGAAAATTAAATTCTAGATAAGTTAATTGATAGGGAAGTGCAGTGGTTCACTTTGGATCTCCGTTGTTTTTCAGAGTGTGAGCATAGTGCCTGTCGGCAGTACAGGTAGTCCTCGTTTAGCGACCATTATCAGGACTGGCAACTTGGTTGTTAACTAAAACTGCAACTTTACTTATGATTTTACTTCAGCTTTCCTTTGCTTTACAGACCTGCGAAGGTCATAAATGCAAGGACTGGTCACAAAGTTACTTTTTCATCACTGTCGTAACTGTGAATGGTTGCTAAATAAGTCAGTTGCTAAAGGAGGACTAGCTGTACCTGTTAGCCTTGTGAGGTAGTCCAGACAAAAAGCACAGCCAGGAGTACTAGCTTTATCTTTATTGTAAGGTTGCATTACCAGAATCTTGCAAGTCTGAAAGTACCCCTCCCATCCCTCACTTTTACTTTCCCCAAAACTAGGGAGGGTCCCATCTGAGACACTTTCACAACCTCTCCTCCTTCGGACTCAAATTTCATTTATTAGACTGTTGTCTAGGCTGTGGCTCTTCCTTCTGTCTCCCAAGGTCATTTCCACACACCATTACAGTGCCTTACAGTAGCCATGTTTTAGCTAAATTGCTATCTTTTCTGTATTCCTACAGCTGAATTAATATTTATTTTCCTATTAGGCTAAATTTGGCAGGAGATGGACAAAAATTGCCATGATGATTGAAAGTCGCAATGTTCTTCAAGTAAAGAGCTATGCCAGACAATACTTTAAGAACAAGGTAAATTAGAAATGAATTTTACTTGACAGGATGACAAATAGAAAACTTTTAGCTATAAGAAATAAATTGATCAAATTTATCCAGCTTCCATCTTCTCTGTGCAGCTTCCCCTTTAATTAATATTAATTGAACTACTGAGTGAAATCTAGCATCACACAAGTGGACTACCACTCATGCAATTTGAAATTCTTCCAAATGCCCACAGTTCTCTGCTGAAATTAGAGCATAATTAGAGCATAATTAGAGTTTGTGTGTGTGCGCATCCCATTTTTTCCCATTTTGCATATAGGAACAATTCTATAATCTTAGACATAATTAATTACATTGAGATGAAAACACTGATCATTATTCTTAACTGAATTGTTTTTAACTGGAGAATGGGACAGAATTTAGAAGTAACTAGTTCTATTTGTTTGTCTTAACTAGTTTTCTTTTTCATTTAGATTTTTTATTTTGTTGTGCCATGCTTAACTCTTCTTTATGTAATCAGGCAAAAAGTAATGGCTTGGAAAAAGTGAAACAGCAGCAACAGCATATCAGTGTTCCTCTTCCACAAAGCAATGAGGATGATGAAGGGAAGCAGATGACATGGGCACCAGAGCACTTAAGAGGTCGAGCAGACCCTAATTTAAACGCAGTGAAAATTGAAAAATTATCAGATGATGAGGAAGTAGACATTACAGATGAAATGGATGAACTTTTATCTTGTGCACATCAGCGAGAACCTGGAAAGTCTAAGATACTAGATATTCCAAAAAGCCCATCTGAGCAAAATAGTTGGACAGAACCTGTTTTGGATTCTGCTCGACATACATCTACTGTTCTCTTAACAGCACAATATATTACACAGCCAGAGCAAAACACAGATGAAATTGCAGTGTCATGCTCTGAGAATAAGGAGCATCGGTCTATAAAAATAGAGAATCAGAAATGTAACAGAACAGCAACTTCTGAAAGTCCTGACTGGTTTTCCAGTCCAGAGCTTTGTGGAGAACAAAAAGACTTCACTGACAGCAGCATTCATTTCCTTTCTTCTGAACACCTTGGAGAGGAAAACCGGATGGATGCAGAGGAGCTTAAGCCACCTGATCAAGAAATAGCAATAGATAGAGGTACTATATTAGAAGAAGAAAAGCAAGCAATTCCAGAATTTTTCGTTGGACGTCAGGCCAAGACACCTGAGCGCTATTTGAAAATTAGAAATTACATTTTGGATCAATGGTAAGCATTATTGATAGACTGAAAGCTCACTTCAGGTTCGTTTGACTCCTTTTGACAATAAACCTGATCAACAGACTGCCAATTTCTAAGGGGATATGGCCAGTATCCCCTCAAATATCCCCTTAGTGCTGATGAAAAGAATGCCACCAGCAATAGCATATACAACATATATATATGTTTCATGTAACTCTAAAAGTTAATGTTATATAGTGTCCATTTAAAATACATGACTTGGTAGGCATCTATGTCCCCTTTTTGCACACCTTGATAATTTCCAGTTATTTACAAAACTGTAGAGCAGTCATAGAATTTTAACTGGGTGGTTACTGGCAGACTTAAGGCTGATCATTCTCTTGCTCCCCAGCCCATCTCATATGGTTGTTATAGAGATGTTGTTGTTATTATTATTTTATTATATTTTTATCCTGCCTTTTTATATATAACTCAAGGCGGCAAACATACCTAATACTCTACCTCCTATTTTCCCAACATCAACAACCCTGTGTGGTGGGTTGGGCTGAGAGAGAGAGTGGCTGGCCCAAAGTCACCCAGCTGGCTTTCATGCCTAACAGAGGCCTAAAACTCAGTCTCCTGCTTTCTAGGCCAGCATCTTAACCACTACACCAATCTGGTCCTCAGTGGGGGAAAAGGAGGCACTCCTCCATCCCAGTATATGTAAACATCTACAAAAAAGATGGAATAAAAGGAAATAATATAAATACTTACTAAAGAGTAAACTTGGGCTCACTGAGACTTCCCTTCAGTTCATCTAGAGTTCTTCATCTAGAGTTGTATTTCTTCATCTTCATCTAGAGTTGTAGTGTATAAATCGATGAAGCTTGTCTATTAGTTATTGCCACTCTTGCAACATTGGATTGATTGATTATACACCATCAAGTCGGTGTTGATTCTTAGCAACCACATTTCTCCGTGACGATCTTTCTCTAACCTGGTACTTCAAGTCTTCTAATGGTATACCCATTACCACTGTAACTGAGTCCATCCACCTTGCTGCTAGTGATCCTCTTCCTTTTCCTTCCATTTTCCCAGCATTAGAGCCTTCTCCAGAGGGCTGGGTCTTCTCATAATGTATCCAGAGTATAATAATTTGAGCCTGGTAATTTGTGCCTTGAAAGAGGACTCTGAGTTGATTTTTCAACAATGGGTTTGTTTTCTTGGCTATCTATGGTATTCTCGAACAGCAAAGTTCAAAAGCACCAATACTCTTTCTATCCTGCTTCTTCAAAGTCCAACTTTAGTTTCCATAGAGTGCTGTGGGAAATAACATGGCTTGTACTGTTTCAATTTTTGTAGATATAGACACATCATGGTGTTTGAATATCTTTTCCAAGGTGTTCATGGTTCTACCAAGTGCTATGGTGTATTTCTTGACTGCTTGTTACTGTTGATGGTTGATCCTAAAAGGCAGAAGCTATCTACCGCTTTGATATCTTCATTGTCAATTCTAAAACTGGTTTTTGTACCTGTTGTTATTAATTTGGTCTCCTTTATATTCAATTTTAGTCCATTTTTTTCCTACTATGCTTCTTGACTTTTATTTATTGATGTTCTTCCTCCAGTTTTAAAACCATACTCTTCTAATCCAGCTTTCTTTAATATATATTCAGCATATAAGTTGAATGAATAAGGGGAAAGTACAGCCTTGTCTCACTCCTTTGCCAAACTGGAGCCAGTCTATTTCTCCATGTTCTGTCCATACTGTGGCTTCCTGACCACTATATAGGTTTTGCATGAGGACAGTGAAATGTTTTGGGATTCCTATTTTAATAAGCACACTCCACAGCTTGACATGATTGATATAGTCAAAGGCATTTTGGTAATCATAAAACACATACTGACCTTTTTGGTATTCTTTGGCTTTCTCAATTATCCACCATGCATCAGCAATAATGTCGCATGTTCCCTGGCCTCTTCTAAAGTCAGCTTAAACACCTGGCATCTTCTTTTCCATATGGGGTTCTAATATGCATTGGATGATTCTAAACATTATTTTGCTAGCAATTAAGGACATTGTACAATAGTTTTCACATTCTGTTAAGTCTTCTTTTTGGGATTGGAATGTAGATTGACATATTCCAGTCTGTTGGCCACTGTGTTGTTCTCCAGATTTGCTGGCATAGTTTGGTTAAAACTCTTACTGATTCTTCTTCTGTTTCCTGCCATATTTCTGTGGGTATTCTATCAGTTCCTGTAGCCTTCCAAATTATTATGACCGGAGTACTGATCTAACATCATTTCCTGGTACTAGAGGTTCTTGTAAGTAGGGAGTATCTTCTAAGGTATCTTGGATGTTGACATGTCTACTGTACAGTATTTCAGTATACTTCTTCCATCATTGTTTGTTTTTCTTTGAATCAGTTACTGTCTGTCCATTGGAAGCCTTTAGCATTATAATTAGAGGTTGGAACCTCCTTCTGAGTTCAGAGATCTTTTGGAAGACTTCCCTCATTTTTCCATGTCTGTTTCCATCTTCGGTTTCTTTACAGATGTTGTAATACTGCTTTTTGTCTCTTCTAACAGGTCTCTGAAATCTTTGTTAAGTTCCTTCCTGAGAGTTTTGTCTGTGTTGGCTTTGGCTTCTCTTCTTTTTTCTTCTTGGTAATTTGCATGGTTTGTTCTGATATCCAGTTTGCTTTCTTCTGTGACTTTGGCAGTCTTTTGTCATACTCTTTCTTAACAACTAATTTAAGTTCACTCCACAATTCCTCTTTTTCTCTATCAGTGAGATTCAGGATTCAAAGCAGTTCCTGCTGTTCTCCTTGAAAATGGTGGGTATATATTCATGATCATATTGTGGAAACTTCTTCTTTAGCTTAACGTGGACCTTGCACATGAGCAGTTTGTCATCTGTTCTGCAGTCAGCACCTGGCCATGTCTTTAATGTTGTAACTGAACTCCTCCATCTCCTGTTAGAACATACAATTTTAAATAATGACTCTTTAGTAAAAAATAATTCAGAAGTATTACATAAAGTAACAAATAATTCAGAAGAATTACATAAAATTAATTCACTGAAAAATTGATTTTGTTCAGTCTTTTAAAATGTTAGATTTCACAGACAGAATTAAGAGTTCTTAATTGTTTGGAAAAGATACCAGTGTTTTACATTAGCAAGCTAACAAATAGAATAACATCCTCTTGACAATGATTGCTTTCATATTAGTAGGAGATGTCAAGCATGTTAATATAATAAATATTAATAGAAATTATTAAGATGATATAATTGTGTGTGTGTGTATCTTCGAGTCAGTGTTGACTCCTGGCAACTATCTGACAAGTCCCTGCAGTTTTTGTGGCAAGATTTCGGGAGTGGTTTGCCATTGCATCCTTCCTAGGGCTGAGAGTGACTGGCCCAAGATTATATAATTAGTAGATACAGTAACTTACTGCTCTTGGGTTATAACATTGTGAATACAATGATTCAAATAAATAAATAAATAAATAGACTCAAGCTGCCTATATCAATTACAGTTACTCATTTCCAGCACCCCAGTTCTTTCATCCAAAATGTGGCAATGAAATAGCCAATTTTCAGTGGCACATTTAAATAAGGTGCAAATTAGAGTGAGAGGCTTCTGGGAGGCAAACCATTCCCATTTCCAGCTTTAAACTCTCCAAAACTGGTCTGAAATTTTGCTGCTAAAATTTGGCCATTTTTTACCAAATTTTGGCAGCAGAAATTTAGCATGCTTGAAAAGTTTCTGTAATCTCTTTAAAGGATAGAAATGGGGGTGGTTTGGTTCCTAAAAGCTTCTTGCTCCCATATTCCCACAATTTAGAAACTTAAGGGGAAAAAAGTGGGCCAAAAAATTGTCCCCATCTGTTCTGGGGATGATATTGCTTCAGTAGAAATTATTTGAAAGAATGGCAAACTGCAGTGCATCCCACAGGCCCTCCATGATTGCCAACCCCCAAATTATGAGATACATTTAGGTATATCAAATCTATATTTTATTTTTTAATTGTGATTCCACTTGGTTTTAGGGAAAGAATCAAACCAAAATACCTGAACAAGACATCAGTACGTCCAGGGCTGAAGAACTGTGGTGATGTCAACTGCATTGGACGAATACATACATACCTGGAATTAATAGGAGCAATTAACTTTGGCTGTGGTATAAAGAACACTGTTTCATTAGCTTTACATTTGTATCCTCAGTTTTTTTAGAAGAGACTCCAAAGCAGAATTGGGGTAGAAGGAGGATTAGGATTAGAAATAGGATTTTAAAAATGTGATTTTTGTGGTTGGGGGTCAGATGTCATTCCTAGAGAATCAAGAACTCATATATGAACTTTCTTTTACTCACACCTTTTATTACCTCAGTTTGGATTTTTTCTGCTACACTGTGGCAAATATACCTCAATTAGTATAAACCAGATATAAAACTACATGCATGTCAAAAATCCCTTTCAAATTTTACAGGGTGTTATTTTCCCTTTCCAATAAGTTATATTTCAGTGTGGTGTTGAATGATTGAAAACAGTAGATTGTGTCCAGGTAACATAGCCAGCTAGCTTCCTTTGGCTGCTTACACTTTCCAGTAGAGGCACTATGTGTGATGGAATGGGATTATGAAGGCCAGGCTCAGGGAGATAAGCGTTTTCTTAGTTCCCACACTCTTTCGGTGAACGAAGAAAATGCTTATCTCCCTGAGCCTGGCCTTCATAATTCCATTCCATCACACTATGTTAGTCTTTTGTGGTAAAGCAACAACAAGGCTTTTGGTACAGGTAGTCCTTGACTTATGACAGTAATTGAGACTGGAATTTCTATTGCTAAGTGATGCAGTTGTAAAGCGTAATGTCACGTGACCGCATTGCTTAGCAACAGCAATCCCAACATTCCCCATTGCGGTCATTAACTGCATTCCACCAGTTGTTAGCTGAGGACTCACCCCAATCCAAGCCATTCCGGGCTGGGTTTCTCCTAGCCCTGAGCCTCAGTAAAGTAAGGGACTGCCTCCTCTTCAACTACCCCCACCCACTTATCTCCCCCCATCTTTGCTCTTTTGGCCAGCCTGCACCCTGCCTTGCAAGGTAGCAAGCAGCCCCAGAACTGCACGGCTCCGGGGCTGCTTGCCACACTGCAGCTCAGGGGCTTCTTGGCTCTGGGGCTACAAGAAGCCCCTAAGCCACAGTGCAAAGCCACAGGTGCCCTGGAAGCCTCAGCTACCCCAGCCTGAGCCAACAGCTCAGCACAAAGCCTTAGCACCTCAGGAAGCCCCAGCAGCCCAGTGCAAAGCCTTAGCCCCTTGGGAAGCCCCAGCAGTTTGAATCTGGGAAGCTCTAGAAGTCCCAGGAAGCCCCAGTAGTGCGGCATGAAACCACAGCATCCCAGGAGGCCCCAGCAGTATGAAACCCCAGCAGTGCAGCACCCCGGGAAGCCCTAGCATGAAGCCAGGAAGCCCCAGCCGCATGGCATGAAGCTGCAGCGCCCTGAGAAGCCACAGCCACAGTCGCCCTCGCCACCCTGTGCTCTGAGGCTCCTGCCACCCCAGCTGACCCTCGCTGTCTTGCTCCCACTGCTGGCGAGGTATGCCCATCCTGGCTCTTCATGAGGCAGCTGCTGGCCATGTGAGGCCATCTTTCCCAGGTCTCACGAGGAAAATGCCACCTTGGGAAGAAAGTCTTGTATAGCCAGCAGCTGCCTCACAAAAGGCCAGGCCAGGCATGCTTGGTCAGCAGCAGGAGCAAGAAGGCAAAGGTCAGCAAGGGCGGCAGGGGCTGCGGAGTGCAGGGAGCTAAAAGAGCATAGATGGGGGGGAGATAGGTGGGTGGTGGGAGTTGAAGCGCACCTGCGGTCATAAGTAGAAGTGGGCTGCCAAGCCCCCAAATTTTGATCATGTGATTGTGGGGGCGCTGCAATGGCCATAACTTCAGGGACCAGTTGTAAGTCTATTTCGTGCCACCATAACTTCAAACGGTTGCAGAACAAATGGTCGTAAGTTGAGGACTGCCTGTATCCAAAAGACTGTCCTGTTTAATTATGGCAGAAGCTTTTGTGGGCTGAAGGCTACCCAACAAAATAAGTGAGGTTTCATCAGGAATTCTGAGGATATGCATGATTGACTTGGATTCTAAATGAGGAGGTCAGGTGTGTTGGTTGATAACAAATATTCTTTGCATCTGTGAATAGTGTGCTAGAAAATGAAACAAAACATCTTTGTCTTTGTGTAAGATATTGGAAACAGACTAGTATCTCTTGATAAATTATAGTTCTCTTGTTTCTCATTAATCACTGAATTTTCTTTGTGATCAGTGGTGACAAAGGCAGTCAAGGCTTTTCCTCTTCAGTGCTTTTTTCAAATACTGCCACTTCAGATGCCTGACGTAGGTCTGTTTGTCCTACAAATGAGTGAATTGTTAATAAATGATTGTTCAATGCAATATATGCAATAAGAAGTATATGAATCCTAAATGTACTGGGTTATATTATTTACATCTTGTAATAGTGTCACTAGAAGGAAAATAAGAGTAGAGTCAATATCTTGGTCATTGCAGAACTTTGTTTGTATATCTATAACATAGCAGCTCTGGTTAGTACCTGTTTCAGACTGTTGTGGGTAATAACTAGTCTGTTGTTGCTGGTTTATCATTGTTTTAGATTAGGTGGCTGTATATCTGTAAACAAGTACCAGATGATCATCCAGAGTTTGTGATAGTGGACGCTAGATTATGATAAGTTTTTTTTTTAATATTTGGAAGTGGTGTTCTTTTCTGTACTTGGTCTATTCTGTAGTAGAAGATATCTTACCAGTCTGGCTCTTTTGAATTGTTTTTTCCTCGCTTAATTGGTATTGGGTGCTTAATCTACAGAATGCTTGATTTAATTCTTTAAGCTGTCCGTAAGGATCATATGATAGGACTTGAATGTAGATTTTTTTGTGAGTCTGGCTGGAATTTGCGGTCTGAATGAAGCCATTCATTTGCTGTTTCTTTACACTTAAAAGAACACGGTTGCTGTTTTTTTGTTTTCCCTTCAGTTAGGTTTGGGGACCTAATTGGATCTCACGCCTGTACTCTATAGGAGGTTAGGGACGGCTCCAAAAATGTATTTTACTATTTTGCTGAATATTGTGTATACCTAGCTGCATTGTAATATCTCTATATCCTGTTTTTTGTGATTTCTTTTCCCCCTTTTGTATGCTTCTGTGTAGGTACCATTGTTCATGTAACTCTTAACAATTCACAGCCACTCATTCTTTACAAGGCTTTGCTGATTCGAAGGACCATATGAACGGGCAATTGTGGGTTTTTGTTTTTTTTTTTTTTGTTTTGGGTTGGGTTGGGTTTTTTTTTTTTTTGATAAGTGATGCTTTTTTACATCGATTTACTTTACATCGAGTGATACATTATATGGAAAGTTTTTAACATTTATCTTTAACTTGAATGATAGAATTTAAATAAATGCAAAGGTAATATTGTCATTAGCTGGAGGTTTTGGTATTGGGTGTTAGGTGTTATTTGAGTACAGTATCTGTCTAAAG